CATAAATAAATAAATCTAAAAGAAAATTTTGCTTGTATAATTAGAAACCATTTTATTTTTCATTTAAAATTCTTCTCAAAAGGCTGTTTACTAAATAACTTTGAGACCAAAATGACAATATCTTTGGTTTATTTCTGATTTTGGTGTGTGTGGGGGGGATGGTCACCTAGCATGACAAATGCTGGTTTGTTTGAGCCATTAAAATTGGCATAAAACTTGCAAAAGACATACTTAGCATAAATTCTGTGTTCAAGACTTTTTTTCGTTGTTTATCCTGGTACAAAGATGTTTGTTTTAAAGTACTATGAGTTAATAGTCCAACTTCAGACTCCATAAAATGTGTGACAGATTACCCAGATGGCAAAAGATGATATATACATTTTAAATAGGAATGTTTCCATGAGCCCAGATGGTGACTTAACATGAATTATCGAATATTTGTGTTTCTTATTAAATCATCATCTTTTGTCTAAGCCAAGCGTAGCAACATAATTTGCAACACTCAGGAATCACTAGAGGACAACCACAATTCCGACATTGAAGGCAGGCGGCATTTGCTCCCTGTGGCTTGTGAAAGCTCACAAGCAGCCTCTGTGTTGCCCTAGGGAACATTTTTGCTAGTCATGAGGAAATAAATACCTGTTGGAATGCTGTACAAATACATCAACCCTCTGCTTTCCTGTCCCTCCCCAAACTCAGATCTCCTCACCATTCTGCATGGGAACTTTCCTCCATGGGGACTCTGAGGGAGTAAGGCAGCTGTCTTTCCTCAGCGTCCTGGACTTATGCAGGAAAGAAGTTTCAGTTCTTCTTAAGCACTTCCTTCCCCGCCATCACATGTCATGTGCTCGCTTGGTGCTGGCTCCACCCGGACTGCTTCCTCTTCATGGTACACAAGTTTTGCAGAGATGGGTCATTTGTGGACGAAGTCATGTGCCTGGTCACAGGGCTCCTTACAGGAAATGCCGCTCACTCACTGCCTGTGAGGTTTGCACGGAGCACAGTCCTTGCACCCGTGGGCTCCCCACCAGAGAGTGGACAAAATTCTGCTGTTCTCATTTTCAAAATAAAGCTTTGAATCATTCATTCATGTAGTGCCATCTCTGCACGCTGTTTAGTTTATGTGAAAGTCTGAGAGTGGGACATATTAAGTCCATGACAAGAAATCCTTGTCACTGCATCCCACCTTTGATCATTGTCTTTTTAAAAGGAATTGGGAGTAGTTAAAACTCAGCTTAAAAAAAAAAAAAAACAAACCTTTTCTTATGGGGACCTCTCATAGTGAAAATGAACATTAGATAAATATAAACTTAAAAATAGAGAGGACAACCTCTGAGAAACAGCCTTGGTCATTAGGAGCTCCTTGAACGCTGCCCGGCCTGCACTAAGCGCAATTAGGTGCTGCTGCTTGGAAGATCTTTTGGTCCCATTCCTAGTGGAGACAGTGTCCGGCTGAGGGAGCCATCCACCTCCCAGGGACCAGCAGTGTTTCCGATCAGATGGTAGAGGCCGGAGCTGGCAGAGGACCACGATGCTATAGAGCAGACACAGGTGCTGCTGAATGTCTTTGCTGACAAGGACCCATCAAGATGTCTTTTCCTGATTGTGGTTCCTGAAAAATAATTGGAGCTGTGTGTTGAAGGGTAGGCATCTCAGGAATTGGGCAGCAATGAATGGGTCTTAGGTGTACATAAATTTATTCCTAACGGCGTATGTCGTTTTATTTACAGCACATCTTGCACATACCTAGTAGCCAGTTTTAGTACTTCCCTGAAGAGGAACTGAGTAGCTTCATTTCTGGGTATTTCAGGCTCCCACTAGAGTTAGATTAACATCTTCTTTTGTGCCCATTGGCCTGGAATTTGGTCTAGTTTATAGCATAGGGAAAGACCCATCACTTTTAGTGCACTTTTAGTGCACTTACTAGTATTTGCATATACTGTGCATTTACAGTTCCTCTCATGTCTCAACCCATCAGCATCTGCCTGATAGGGGCAGGGTTCCACTAATGTGTAGCCATATCTGAACCTACTCAAGACAGTTCATCTGGCAGGGATCAAAGGGGGTAAAAATAAAGAATAGTTACAATCCTTGGTGTGACTGCAACAGATAATTGTAGAGAACATTAGAAATGTCCCTCCAACCCATAGGACTGAGGTCTAGGAATACTTTGAAAGGATCAGAATTGTGAGCAGGCATTTCCAACATTTGCTTCAGTGCTTTCTCAGTTTTTTGTTTTCTTTTTTTTTTTTAATAAAAAGTTCAAAAATGGAGACTGGTTTTTACCCTGGCATCTCTAAACTTTAAAGAAGTCCCAAGCCTAGGTAGTCTAGGGGAGGTGAGGGAGAACTGTGACACAGTGATTCCCCTGGTGCAAGGACAATATTTTGGTGTTTCCTTTATTAACCCTTTGAAGACCTCAGTGTACTTTCTGCATCAGTTTTTGAAAGGGACCATCATTTTTTCTTTAGAAATAGAAATTAGAGTTCAAGTGTGTGATCATGCATTCCTTTAATTTTTAGTGTTAACATTTAGTAGTTGGAAATACATTAAACACCTCTGTAAGATCAGGGTCAGAAGCTTGAGCAGGAGAATAGTCTAGATAGGATACCCTGATGCACCAAGATGTCGCCTAACCAAATTACAATTTGGTTTACGGTTTCTCTATACCTTGGACCTTTCTCTTTCACATGACCTTTGGATAAACATCTTTTAAATGAGGGAAAAATTTTTTTTCACAAGTGAAGTCATTCTCAGGCTTTATTTTAATGGGGACTCCCCTGAAAAGACAGGCATGGAAGAGCTACCATTACTGTTTTGTTGTACATGGTCAGGAAAGTGATCCAGGTGACATGTGCATAGTCCATCCTTCTGTGAACCCGCCAATTTCACACCACCAAAATGTCAGGGCAAAGTATGTGCATGACAATGGATTTTATAATTTGGCCAGTGATCAGATTTTATATTTTTAGTGTAGTCTATTGGTTGAAAAACCTTGAATCCAAGATTAAGACTATCCAGTTACCTATCTTCCCTGTTCAGCTAATTTCTGTATACTAGACCTCAGTCTTCTCATCTGTAAAATAGGAGTGTGCTTTTTATATGGTAGTTTTGAGGATTAACTTGTCTATGTAAAGACCTTAGAACAATGTCTGGCAGGTAGAAGAAACTGAAGAGACTGGCTTCATTAAACACAGGTTTACTTGAGCCAACTCTAAAGAGCTGCAGGTGCTATTTTAACAGTACCTATTGGATGTGCTTTATGCTCTATGTTATACTGTTCAAGGCTAGAATAACTCCTGAACAGGGCTTTATTACATATGAGATTCCAGCATCAGTTGTCAAAATTGATTAAGGTTAGAGGTGGCCTCTACTATCTGGCAAGTGTGCTGCCTCTAACCTGAGTGGCCAGCTCCTCCTCTGATGGGTAAAAATAGCTTGACTGCTCACTGAAGCAACAGTCATGCTCTTTTGTCCTTGGAGGCTGATAGTGGTGGATCTCTAGACATGCAGGGCAGCCTGGTGCTGCCAGCAGTCAGCTGAGCCGAAATACAAAGCTTGACGTTTGTGCGCAATGTCTACTGGCTTCAGGCCCCACACTCTTCCTCCCTATATCTTGATCTTGCCAGTTGCAAGCTCATTTTATTACTTTCATATTGATGATCAGGAAGAAACTGATACACATTTCCTACCTGTTGAGACTTTTTAAAAGCTAAAGTTAACAAGTCAGAAAATTTGTTTTTCACATATTTGTGGTTAAGGAAGTCTGGAAATGGTACTTATCCCTAACCTTGTTAATATAACTCAAAATAGCCAGTCCCTGGTAAGATTTTCCCTATTGTCTTAACACTTAGTACTTTTTCCATCTTTCTGAGGAGCCATTTTTTTTGTTTTGTTTTATTTATTTATTTTTAAAAGTTTTATTTATGCATACAGAACTGGGGTACAGGCTAGAGGTACAGGGGCGGTGGGAAGCTTCACCAGGGACAGAGTGGGGAGCAGAACAGGCAGATCGACGAAGTACACTGCTGAGGGGAGCAGCAGTCGGGTCAGGAGAGGTCTGCCGCGCCATGTGGGTCACCTCCGGGGCAGGGATGGAACTCATGTTGAAGTGGCTTTAGCTTCTTAGTGGTGTGCTTTAACCCGCTGTGCCACCAGGGAGGGAGAGCCCTTTCTGTTTTATTTTAAACGAGGTCTATTTATGACTTCTCAGGAATAAAACTGGTGATCACTATTCTTTTCCCAGCTCTCTTGGTTGGCAGTTGACAACCCTTTGGTTCCCCCACGTCACAAGATTATCATTAGCCAGCACGTTTTTTATAGATAAGTGAGCCATTGAGACAGTAGTAATGATGGGGACAAATAATACAGTATAGTAAAGACCAAGAATGGTGGTATTCTTTCATAACTACCAGACTGACAATTTAATTGGATCTCTGCCCTCTACCTTCTGTCCCCCTGTTGCCAACCCACCCACCCACCCATCCTGCTCTCTGGTAAAGTGGGTTAAACAAGTTTAGGAAAAAGTCCATGTATTTAGTCCATGTTCTCCAAACCCAGTTTTCTCTAATACCAGTAACTTGGAATACTTGGTCTGATTTTTATATTCCATTAAACAATGCAAGAAATGTACTGTGCAGCATTCATCACTCTTTAGTGAACTCTATCACCGCCCAATCATTAATTATTCAAGTAATAAATGATCAGAATGGATGGTTGTTTGTCGGTTGTTATTGGTGAATAGATTCATTGAATGGAATTAACTATGCCTTTCCAGAACACTGGATCTGTGTTCTCATTCAGATTTTGTTTGTAATCTCCCTTCCCATTCCCCTCCACCACAGTGGCATAATATGAATGATGTGGTATCTGCCATTAAAAAACCATCTTATCCATGCTCTCCCTTCCTCCTTTTTGTTTTAAACACAGGACATGGATTTGATTGACATACTTTGACCAATCTCCCTAATGAACCAATCTCCCTAATGGGGGAGCAGCAGGACATGGATTTGATTGACATACTTTGGAGGCAAGATATAGATCTCGCAGTAAGTCGAGAAGTATTTGATTTTAGTCAGCGACGGAAGGAGCATGAGCTGGAAAAACAGAAAAAACTTGAGAAGGAAAGACAAGAACAACTCCAGAAGGAGCAAGAGAAAGCCTTTTTTGCTCAGTTACAGCTAGATGAAGAAACAGGTGAATTTCTCCCAATTCAGCCAGCGCAACATATCCAGTCAGAAACCAGTGTATCTGCCAACTACTCCCAGGTACAGAGAACACAGCTCTTGGGAAAGTGCATGAAGAGAGCATTGCTCTTGGGAAAGGGTTTAAGGAAAGCATTGCCCCAGAAATTAAAATATTGGGGCCTGGGTTTCAACTGTACCTTTCATTAACTATGTCTTCACCACCTAATCAAGTCTAATCACCAACTTCGACTTCCCGATGAGGTCAATATCTGAAGTGCTATAGATTATTAGAAGGATTAGGAGGACATTAACTGAGTGAAAGAGCATTGTAAGCTAATGAACCATCCTGTAAGGACCAAACAGAATAAACTAGCGACAGGAATGCTAGCCACAGGTCAGGCCCTGTTCTAAAGCACTTGACATAGACTGATAGTTAATCAACAATGAGCCTGAGGAGCCAGTATCCTCCTTTCATATACTGATGAACACTTGATGCCCAAAGAGGTTAGAAACTTGCCCAGAAATTGGGGGAGAGGGGGTTTCAAGATTAGAACTCAGGTTGTTAGGTTCAGTTCTGTGTGCTGAACTGTTCACTAACCTAATTTGTACCTGAGTAAACCATGTTTAGATTTTAGCTAATAGTCATATAACATTGTTCATTAGTGTGGCAAATGTACTGTATATTTTAACAATGGAGGAAACTGGACCTGTGTAAAAGAATTCTCTATACTTGCATTTTTCTACAAATGTTTAAAGCTGTTCTGTGTATTTAAGAAGTTAAGGGAGACAGATATTTTAAATTAAAACTTTAAAAATGTGATCCTGAACCTAATAAAATGCATTTTGATTTCTTTTAAAAATGGTAAATTTAGGCATAAACCTAGCCAGCAGAAAACCATCCAAGCCATATAAGCAGAATAATGGTAAACTTTAAAAAAAACTTTAAATGGATATTTGCAGAATACTTTTTTAAAAAGCAATTTAATGTATAATCTAGAAATCTTTAAAAAGATTTTTTAAATGACCACAGTTGTATGAGAGGAGCCGTTAATTACCATTTAACTTTCAAACTTCAGAAAAAAATAAAATTGACAAGCAAAAAACAAAAACTGATGAAATGTTTGATTTAACTAGATAACAAACATGTCATGAATACTGAACAATTTCTTCTTCCTTTGTGTCTTTCCCTTTCATCCAGGTTGCCCACATTCCCAAATCAGATGCTTTATACTTTGATGACTGCATGCAGCTTTTGGCCGAGACATTCCCTTTTGTAGATGACAATGAGGTATAACCTTCGGTTAATAGCAAAACTCTGCAACTGCATCTAATATATCCTCTAATCTACTTCTTTAATGTTGCTCCACTTTTTGAAAAGAATGAAAAAAATTTTAGGAAATTTTGTCAAGAAAATGTAAGTCTAATAGATAACTTTGCAGCTAAGAAATAAACTTCCAATCACACACACTACAAAACCAAAATCCTTTACTTACTGCATAGTGCAAAGCATGAGTCAGGGTAACTATGGAAACAAGAGAACACATTTGTTCTAGGTAACTAGAAATAAATTTCAGTGACTTAAGAACAAGCTGGGTAATAAACCAAGACTTGTTCAACTAACAATTTTAATAAATCTCTTGTGATTAAATCACTATCCTAGTCATTACAGAAATACAAATTAATCCTAAACATTGTTTTTAATCATTTTAAAGTTTACTTTCACATGCATAGGAGAAAGCAATTACACCAGTAAATGAATAAATCTGGAATCATTTGAGTAAGAAAAGATGTTTCATTTTTATAGAGGTGGGGATCACAGTGGTTATAATTAGAGAAATACAGAACCACTGCTCATTCAATTTAAGATATTACAAATGGTCCCTCAGAATGTACTCATCAACTCTTGCCTTATATAGACGAATGCCTTATCCATTTCAGGTTTCTTCAACGAGGTTTCAGTCACTTGTTCTGGATATTCCCAGCCACACTGAGAACCCAGTCTTCACTGTTCCTAATCAAGCTCAGTCACCTGAAACTGGTGTCAGTCAGTCAGCCGTCACTGATTTAGACAGTATGCAGCAGGACATTGAGCAAGTTTGGGAGGAGCTATTATCCATTCCAGAATTGCAGGTAACTAAAATCTAGTGTAATACCAAAGACGCTACTTCCTACTCAGTGTCTTTACATTAGTCATTCTACTTACTGTTTATAAGCCACTTTTAAATTGGTCGGAGAACTGCCCATGCTCACCTAACTACAACTTAGGTAAAAGGACTGAATGTGTTGATAGATCAAGTTGTAAACCCGAGGAAGTCTGATCTAGGAACCCTAAAATTAATACATCTTCTTAGACATAAATCTCTGTGGGAAATGGGAATTATCTCTGAATTATAGAAGATATTGAAGATATTAGAATTGGGATGGGAAGAGCTTACCTTCACATACAGATTATCAGATAATCAAGTATTTAGCTTTGATTTATATAGCATAAACTTCTTTTTCATGCAGTGTCTCAATATTCAGAATGACAAGCTGGTCCCAGAGAACAGTGCGGTTCCAAGTCCAGAAACCCAGCTGACAGACATTGACAACAATTACCATTTCTACTCATCATCAATCCCCTCACTGGAAAAAGAAGTAGGTAACTGCAGTTCACATTTCCTAAATGCTTTTGAAGATTCCTTTAATAGCATTCTCTCCACAGAAGATCCCACCCAGTTGCCAGTGGACTCGTTAAATTCAAATGTCACAGCAAACAGATTTTGGTGATGAATTTTATTCTGCTTTCATAGCAGAGCCCAGCAACAGTGTGCCCTTCTCTGCTGCTTTAAGCCAGTCAATCGCTGAACTTCTGAATGGGCCCATTGATGTTTCTGATCTGTCCCTTTGTAAAGCTTTCAACCAAAGCCACCCTGAAAGTGCAGCAGAATTCAATGATTCTGACTCTGGCATTTCACTGAACACAAGTCCCAGCATGGCCTCACCAGAACACTCAGTGGAATCTTCTGTCTGTGGAGACACACCACTGGGCTTCAGTGATTCTGAAATGGAAGAGACAGAGTGTGTCCCCCGAAGTGTCCGGCAGAATGGCCCCCAAACACAGCCAGTACAGTCTCCTGGGGATACAGTTCAACCCTCGTCACAACCTCAGGGGCAGAGAGCTCCGGTGTGTGATGTCCAGTGTGAGAACACGCCCAAGAAAGAATTGCCAGGAAGTCCTGGTCATCGGAAAACCCCATTCACAAAAGACAAGCATTCAGGCCGCTTGGAGGCTCATCTCACAAGAGATGAGCTAAGAGCAAAAGCTCTCCATATCCCATTCCCTGTAGAAAAAATCATTAACCTCCCTGTTGATGACTTCAATGAAATGATGTCCAAGGAGCAGTTCAATGAGGCTCAACTTGCATTAATTCGAGATATACGAAGGAGGGGTAAGAATAAAGTGGCTGCGCAGAATTGCAGAAAAAGAAAACTGGAAAATATAGTAGAACTGGAGGAAGATTTGGATCATTTAAAAGATGAAAAAGAAAAATTGCTTAAAGAAAAAGGAGAAAATGACAAAAGCCTCCATCTATTGAAAAAACAACTAAGCACCTTGTATCTCAAAGTCTTCAGCATGCTACGAGATGAAGATGGAAGACCATACTCTCCTAGTGAGTACTCCCTGCAGCAGACGAGAGATGGCAACGTATTCCTTGTTCCCAAAAGTAAGAAGCCAGATGTTAAGAAAAGTTAGATTTTGGATGACCTTTCCTGAAGTAGTTTGTTTTTTTTGTACTGTTTATACTAAAAGCTCCTACTGTGATGTGAAATGCAGAAATATACTTTATAAGTAATTCTATGCAAAATTAGTCAGAACTAGAGTAGAATATAAAGCTTTCAAAAGCATTAAAATAAGTTATCAGTATGCTGAATCAGTAGTTTCACTGTAACTGCAAAGTTAATTTCTCAGAACACCATTTGGGCTAGTTTCTATATAAGTGTAAATACTACAAAAACTTCTTATTTATACTGTTCTTATCTCATTTGTTACATTCATAGATTTATATATGACATCTGGCTAAAAGCAAATTGTTGCAAAACTAACCACTATGTACTTTTTTTTAATAAATATTGTCTGAATAAAAAAAATGGCATTTTTTATATTAAATTGTTTAGCTCTGGCCAAAAAAAAAAAAAAAATAGTTGAAAGCTGATACTAATAAAGAAATATTATGACTATTTTTTGGAGTTCAAGTTTATTCACAGTACCCCATGACAATAACATACTTAGAACATTTAGGTGTTCTGTATTTTCAGGATGTTTTCATTGAAAATATGAAAAGGATTTTACACTGAACTTCTGGTGCTAGAGATCTAGAGAAGATAAGTGATATTTCATATCAAGATACCTCTTCAGTATCTCAGCAGGTACTTCTCAACCAAGGGAAGTGTTATACCTTGATGTGGAAGGTAATACATTGACCACTTATTCACATCAGGAGATGTGCTACTTTGTGTGATGCATTATTTAGAGGATAAAATGGAAATCCCACTCCTCCTGGAACTAGAGGACATACCACATGATGCCAGAAAGTGAAGGATTGGGAAAGACAATAAAAAAGGCAAGGAACTGAAGTTTTAAAGAACTGTGTTATCAAGAGATGGGAAAGACTGGTTAGAAGGTCTAGGTAAGGAAATTAGTTCATGCTTAGACACTGAAAGATTAAACATGTAAAATCAATCTGTCTGCTTGCTCACTAACTCATTCACAGCAACAATGCACTGTTTTTTTCCCATCTAAGCAGATGTTTATTTCACTTGTGTAGAAAAGCAGATTCATCTGAAGGTTAAGCATACTAGCACTAGATGCTAATCATTGTGTTCTGTCAGTTCATTAGAGGCAAAACAGTGGAGTCCACACAGTCAGACCAGTTAGGCTTCCTACTGCCATTTTCCTAGAATGACCTCCAATAACTCAAAGCACTTTAGGGCTGCTTCCTCACCTGCAAAGGGAGGATAAGTTAATACTCAAAAAATATATATATACAGTGCCTTGTTCACCGTAAGCAATTTATAATGGGTTGTTCTCACAAACCTCTTGTTAGGAAGTCTTCAGTGGCAGCTGAAAGAAATCAGCCCAGTTAGCTTAAGAGAATTTGATTCAGAAGACTGAAAGGCTCAAGGGTATGAGTGATTTCAAGGATTAATGATCCAGAGATTGAAATGTTAAGATTCTGCTGTTAACCTTTCTCATGTGTTGATAGCTAGTGTAGTGGTGGTGATGAAATCACTGGGAGACACCTTGCTTCTAACTTAGCCAGAGATCTCAAATCTTAAGATGAAATTTTGGGTGAGTGTTGCAGGTGGGTTCTAGTGAAAATGTTAACAGGGGCCCTCCCTGGTAGCACAGTGGGTTAAAGCACAGCACTAAGAAGCTAAAGCCACTTCAGCATGAGTTCGATCCCCGCTCTAGAGGTGACCCACGTGGCACAGCAGACCTCTCCTGACCCACCCACTGCTCCCCTCAACAGTGAACTTTTGTCAGTCGGTCTTTTCTGCTCCCCACTCTGTCTCTGGTGAATCCACTCACTGCCCCCGCACCTCTAGCCTGTACCCCAGTTCTATATGCATAAATAATCTTAAAAAATGTTAACAGCATCCCCATAAGAAGCAACTGGAATTCATTGAGGGGAAGAATGCTGGAGAGATCAGAATTCTACACAGCAGATGCCTTCAATCACACATACTCTTAAATCTTCCAGTCCCCAAACATTACTTTGAATTGCTAAACACACTGCATTAGGTAGAATTAGTTATTAAATATAACATTCCCTTACAGCTGAATTAAAAATCCCAAGTTTTCATCTTTCTTGATCTGGACTTGAGATAGCCTTTAGTATGTTGTCAGATGAAATGGACGCCCAACTGTAATTTTTTTTAAAAAAGATTATGCATATAGAACTGGGGTACAGGCCAGAGGTGCAGGGGCAGTGAGAGGATTCACCAGAGACGAGTGGGGAGCAGAACAGGCAGATCGTCGAGGTACACTGCTGAGGAGAGCAGCAGGTGGGTCAGGAGAGGTCTGCCACTCCATGTGGATCACCTCTGCGGCGGGGATAGAACTCATGGGGAAGTGGCTTTAGCTTCTTAGTGCTGTGCTTTAACCCACTGTACCACCAGGGAGGCCCCTACTTTCTCATTTTAAATGGTTGTGCCTATACACTTCCCAAACTCATTTTTGCTTTAAAGTGTGAACATATACAATGTAATATGTAACAGACCAATTTTACTTATCAGTTCATGTTTCTTTTTGAGAACTGAGAATAATGTAGAAAACATTAAGAGAAAACCTCAACATAAGCTGCATTGTGTCACCCATTAAGTTGTGGTATATTTCAGGATACTGATAGTTACCTGTAATTACCAATACTTTTAAATTATCAACCAGACACTAGGTTAAGCTCTTCAAGCCCAGTCACTTTTAGCCTCCAAATTTATATAAAGGCAGGTATTACATGCACTTTACTAGAGGAATTAGGAAAAAGCAGTACTCAATCCGATGAAATGGGTCAGAATTTTGATTGGGAGCAACTTTCACTTACACTGAAAGTTGACATTGATTATAGGCAACAAACCACAACGTACTCAACAGTACCTGGCAGTTTAAGTCATTTTATCAAGTGACTTGCCAGGTATCTCAAAATAGCATTTATGCATCACTTCAAAGTCCACATTAAACATTTTAATTACTAAATCACACTTTTGAAAATTAGTGTCAACATGGTTAAGCACTTTATGTAACAGAAAAACATTCTAAGGACATTGTCAAGCCCAAAGTGGAGCAGGCATTAAGAAACCTCAGTAACTAGCCCAAGCTCTTAAAACTACTGGTATGTAAAATCTTGGTATATAAATAATAAAAAAACCTAGTTGGTTTTCTAAGTTATTTAAAAAAGCAACTATCAGTTGTTTCAAATGCAGTTTTCTGAACATTTCTGTTGAATGTAATATTCTTTAATCAAAATTCTGTGCCTTTCATCTGATAGAATTTCTGGATTTTTTGAGTGCAAGGTTTGTAACTACATATTACTAATATTTAGGTATACATGAGAATGAGGCCAGAGGATTCACTAGACAGACTAGGGAGGACAAGACTGACTGATACACAATGCCGAGGGCAGCTGGTGACATGAGGTCTTTTGTCTTGTGGGTCAACTCCCTGGCTGCGGATCACAGGTGTTGCAGTGGCTGCCTTTGGTACTGACACCCCTTGTACCACCTACACTTATGTATATAAGTACTGGGATGTAAACTCCAGTGCCAGTGGGAAAAACAGGCAAGTCTACTGAAATACATTGCTGAAGGGAACAGCGGTTTAGAAATTTGCTGTACCATGTGGATCAGCTCTTTGGCTGGGGATCAAACTCATGCTACAGTGGCTGAAGATAACCTGATACCACTGAAGTTTTAACCTCTGCACCACGAAGGAGGTGCCTCTTGGATACTTTATCTTCCCAGGCAATTTCTCATGTGTCACCCAAACATTTCATGTATAGTCCCAGACAATCCCTATGAGGCATGCACAGCCCCATTTTTCCACTTTTACTGGTCTCAAAGGCTCATTGCATGTTTCCTGTTGATCTTACCAATATCCATCTAGAGTATGAATCACAAACACCACGAAGCAACAAAGTAACACACACATTTCTAAAAATATTTTAATGAAAAAGTTATCTTTCTGTAAACATTGCATTATGCTACAAATCAAACATTTGAAACCATTACAGACCACCTCTTAAAAATTGGAAAACATTGAAATTTTAGAATTTTGATAATCCTTAGATTAGCCCTGGCATATTTGCATGCTTATTTGCTACGTTGTGACATTACTAGTACTCCATTAAAAATGTTTCAAATTGTGTATTGTAGTCTCATATACCATAAAACCAAGCCTACTTCGGTAGTTCTTTAACATTACTACCAAATATCCTGTAGCTTTACTAAGCAAGTCTAGTGTGGGAAGCAGTAACCTATGACAAAATCAGTTCAAGTTTGCATCATTTTGCCCCTTAAGAACTCTTCATTTAGTGGCGCTGACTTGAGAGAACATAGTATTGTCAGAAACGACAGTGAACTATTTAAGTAAAAATCACTTTATTTTATAAAGAATTAAGATGAACTGGAAAGAACAATGCCTTTAAAAGAAAGTTTTTCCTCTTAGGAAATTCACTAATACCATGTCAACGTTTATTAAAAGGCTGTTACCTTTTTTCACTTTGTTGTGTAGTAATCCAGCCCTGATTTAGGTACAGAAACGAACCAACCAGCCATTTTTCTAGAGTAAGCTCTGGCCAACTGCCTACTGTTTATGTAGCAAATTGATGGTTTAGAAACATCTTAAGTATGTCTTCCCTTTTCCCCTTCCCAAGTGTTTTAAATGTGAAGAATCAAATCAGCCTTAAAACAAAACCTTCCGGTGCAATAGCCCTTTATCAACCATCAATGATTGACCAACAGACCTTTTACTCAACTAGAAGCTTTTCAAAAGGAGGGATTAGAACCCTACTTTTTCAAACCTAGAGGTTAGACTAAAACCCTCAACCCTCCCACAAATGTATTTTGCTGTGAGAACGTGAGACCATTTTATACCTGTATAATTTTGCACATTCATTCCAAAATGCTTTTACCAAGAGTAAGGACTGGCAGTTTGAGTGTCTGCTTCATGTTATATTATAAAAGATGTTCTTAAGATGTGAACTGTCCTGTCAAAATGGACTTTACCCTAAAGACACCAACAATAGTGTACATCTGACTCAAGAGAACACCTCATGGTTTCTGCAGGGGTTATTTCAAAAACTGTGTTAGATGTAGTTCCAAGGTTTTCAATTGAACAATTTTTGCCATCTACCTGTTATGTTTTAAATATAAATTGGTAAGGAAGCAAATGGTGTCGTCAGATTTTACTGTGAACTACAAACCTTACCCAGCCAGAAACCTTCGTATTTAAGATGGTAGGAAAGACATTCCTCATTTAGGCAAGTAGGGTTCTCATTCAACCTGCAAATCAAAAAGATTACTCTTACCTTGCTTTACAAAAAATCACTCTTTAATTAGTGAAAAATTCAAATTCAAGCCTTACCTAATGCTTATTGCCCTTCCTTGCAGGTCTAAATGCTAGACCTAGTGTCTGTGGCAACTATCTCATTGAAGTTCCAAAAGGCGAAGCTCCTTCCTGCTACTTTCTTCGATATTTCAGTTGTAAAAAGCAGATTTAACTAGCTTTTGAAAAGTTGCTCACTATCATCATAGAATCTTATGCCTTCACTTCTCTGTAGTTGAAGCTCTTGCTGCTGCCTTGTCATTCTTTATGCTGACTTGTCCACACTCAAAAGGCTGCTGAAGTCCTGTCTTAGTGAGTCTCCTTTGATCCACACTGTGCTTAAAGAGCACATCTTAGGTCCTTTAAAGCTGGTTAAACGCTCTCCTCATGGCTTACTTTTCCACACTGTTCACAAAAACTAAGCTAATACAACTTATAAACAGGTCACATACACAGATTTCACCTGCTTATAGGTTGCGAACATCAACTTACTGAAAATGTTTTCACTATTATACTAATTCCAGAACATAGAAAGTTTGTTAACAGTACAATTAACTCCATGTCATTAAAGGATACTGTCAAGGTTGTGTCCAACAATTTCACAAACATAGAAACAAGATATGTTGATCTCCCCCATTCCTTCAACCTTTATTGTATGAATGAAAGAACTTGAGACAATTTAGCTCAATTTTAATAAAATGTTTCCCAAGCATTACTTTGACCAGGTACCCAGGTTTAAATTATGAACATTGACAGTGTCCATTTATATACCACACTTGAATTTGAAGGACTTAACCAGTTTCTAAAAGCCTATTTTCTACGCTGCTTATTCACATATGTCCATTAACAAATGGAATGTTGTCTGTTACATTTATTCATTTGTGAGTGTTTTCTGGAAAACTGCAGTATCTGTGAAGACCGATTTCCATGCTGGCATTGCATGCATCCAAGTATTAATAATGCACAGAATTAGAACAAGAGAGCATATTCAAACACTAGCGCGCCCCATTCCCCTTTTTATTGCTTGTTTTGCTTAGTACTCCTTAGAACAAATGTAAGAACCTCCAATTCAATGTTCAACTGCCAAAGAAAGGATAACAGCAGGGCACATACTTAAGAGCTCGAATGAATATTGTAAGCACTAGCTGGCGCAAAAACAGTTGACAGTGGTAGTTGTGTGTGTGTGTGTGTCTGTGTGACCTTATGATCTACAACTTCTCAGTCAGGGCCCTTCCAGACAAATTTATACCAACATGATTTAGAGTCAAGCATACACATGGGAGTATCAGTATGTTCTTTGGGAATTTAAGAACTCAAAATCATCCAAATGTGAATTCAGGTCTTTGGGAAGTGAGTATTTTGTACTAAGCAACTGTGCTACATTTCTACTGTAATAAATCATTTGGGATGATTTTACCTTAGACTATCCTTGGTTTTATCCAGTAAAAGGTAGAGGGTACAAACAGGAAAGCATGCCAGCCAGTTAAGGGTTCAACAATGCATGATTTTTATTCTCTTACTCTGAGAGCTTGTATCAAAAAAATATATTAAACCAAGGAAAATAACTGAAGACTTATGGGCCTCTTGTGCTTTAAAAAAGAAAAAAAAAGGTAGCCACTAATTTGCTCAGATATAGCAGCTTAGTGGTTCTGTATTTTGAAAAAGTTTTTAAAGAATGGATTTTAAAGTAGGAGGCAAGGGAAAACATCTACTACCCTTTCCAGAATTTAAACAGGGCAGCAGACATTCTTTACACTCAAAACTATGGCAGCAGTTCACATGTGACCAAGGCAAATGTAAAGTGGAGATGTTCCAAACACAGCTAGGACTCTCAGCAAAGCTAACACACTAAAATCATATGATTACATTTTGAAAGAAAATGCACAAAAACCAAATAGAAATTTTGAGAGTTTTCATTTGAAGGTAAATCTTAATGCTATTAAATTCACAAGTATGCTAATTTAAATACCCAATTCTATTTATCTAAAACACATTGCAAACATACAAATATCTATTCTCTCCACATGTCAGTGCCCATTCATTTCATGGTTTGGAAATGGGGAGAATAGATTCCCCTTGAACTGCAAGTCAGCAGGTGTTTCTTTACAGTTAACTTTAGCAAAATTCATACAAAAGAGTAATTAACAATGATCTTCTTTACTTGTTAACTCACAAGGAAACACCTTCAAAACTGCATTTTGTTAAAGTTTCTGTACTAAAATGTAGAAAAACTGAACTACACAAATATTGAAAAGTTAAAAATTCCTTAATTTTTTATTCCTGGTACCACTACCACAATTTACAGGGCAATATACCTGATGTAATGAAAAGAAAAAGAAAAAGACAAAGCTACAACAGATAAAAGACCTCAGGAATGTACATCTAATTGACACTACATTGCATTAATCAATAGCTGCACTTTTTGCAAACTGTGGCTATGACAGTCCTGAACAAGAAGGGTTTCCTGTTTAAGCTGCAGTAACTTTTCTGACTATGGATCATCGTTCCTTCTGTGGCAGATTTTTACAGTTCCTCTAATGGATTTGGGACGACTGTCTCAAAGTAACCTGCAGCTTTCCTGACAACTCCTCGCTCTCTCTCCTGCTAAGAACTGTAGCCTGTTGAATAATACAGGATAAAAAAATTATTACACTCAGTGAACAGCACCACATATCTTTATCATTATGATAGAAATTTAAAGATACCTACCCTTTTCTGCTGAATTTTTAGAACCTTCTGCTACCATAGCCACCACTTCCACCACCAGATCCATAACCACCTGTAAATAAATATTTTCAAGTTTTTAACAGAAATGCATAGGTTTACAAATTTGAAAAGTCGTGAAGTAATTTCAAAGGAAAAAAATATATTTACCACCATAGGGACTGCCCGAGCTTCTTCCACCAAAACTGCCCCCCTTCATGGGTCCATAATTTGATTGCTGTTGTCCACTATAATTCCCAAAATCATTGTAGTTCCCACCACCACCATAGTTACCTGAAATTACAAATGATTTTATTTGTGGCTGACCTACAGAATAATTTAGTTTGTTCTAATTTTTAACAATCATGCCACTAATACACAGACCTTCGAAAATTTTTATAGAACTACCAGAAGCAAAGACCTACCAATAGAGTTCAGGCATAACTAAAGTCAACATAAGATTTATCTTGACAGTTGTCACATTTTATTATGTGCTACTGCCTTAGTACACGGTCCCTCTTTTATGCCACTAATACCTATCATAATCACGCTTGATTCACTAGAATGCTAACACAATTTAACTTCAAAAACAGCAAGGTTGATTTTCGACAATTCTCAATTGTCAAAATCTACTTACAGCTATTGACACAGAAACCTCAGATGGCACAATTCATTTCAAGATAGCTGCAAATTCAATTTATAATTTCACTCTGTCAAGCTTAAAAGTACCTAACTGTAAAGTAAAATTCTGGCAATAACAAATATATATCTCAAAATCATGTAGAACAAGTTAAATAGGTAACAAAAAATTTCAATTTAACTACCCTCCAATCTGATCCTTTCGTATTAATTCTGAACACAATTTTGATTATATGCCCCACCTGAACATTTTTATAATAAAACTGCTATCGTTTTTAACATTGAAAACGAGTAAAAGCTTACCACCGCCAAAATTTCCTCCTTCATTGTAGCCATCATATCCTCCTCCTCCACCACCATATCCACCACCTTGGTTTCCATATCCTGGTCCACCACCACCATAACCTCCTCTACTACTATACCCAGGCCCACCACCATAGTTGCCACCTAAAAAAAAAAAAAAAATCAGATGACAAACCATAAACATATATAGCTACAGAATTCTAGTTCATGTTACATTTAAATGACTAAAACTTAACCAATGAGTTGATTCAACACTCAAGCCTAATTTAACAACTGGAAACAGAACAGCAAAAATCTTGGCAAGAATCAAGATCAGTTGCTTAAATATCCTTTTATATTGAAATGTCATTAAAAAATAAACACAGTAAGGAAAACAGTAAACATATTATCTAGACATAAATAATTCAAATTGAAGTTCAAATGCTAAGCACAATGTTAGTAACCAAAAAAGAGCTAACACTGTATGTTCAAAGAAAAATAGTATATGGTATTTGTTTTGACAAATTAGAAAAGCATACTTAAATGAAATTAAGTACAGAAACAACCAAAAGTATATATATTAAAAAAACAAAACCTTACCATCACCTCCAAATCCATTATATCCACCATCACCTCCTCCATAACTACCTCTGCTGCCACCACCTCCACCACCATAACCTCCTGAGGAAAAACAATGTATGCATTAAAAATACAGTCAACTCACCAATAAATTTTAGAAAGACACAAAATGAGAAGATAACCAGCTTACCTCTTCCACCAAAGTTCCCACCACGGCCAAAGTTCCCTCCACCACCTCCAAAGTTTCCTCCACGACCCATAAAGTTGCCAGATCCACCTCCACGACCTTGAACACAGACATAAGGAGTATCTTTAAGAACCTTACAAACACCACTCACATGGACCGCAATTTGCATATATGGTATTACTCACCTCTCTGTGATCCAGCAGACTGCATTTCTTGTTTAGAAAGGGCCTTTTTCACTTCACAATTATGCCCATTAATAGTGTGGTATTTCTGAACTAAAAAAATTTTTTTTAATCAAACAAACAAACAAACAAGTTATGTGATGTTTGGGGAAAAACATGTAAATGATATCCTTTATCACTAAAGAACCCATTAAACATCAAGAAGATAATGACTTTTCAGTGGGGATGAGGGAATATTCTGGGATGTTAATAGCAGTTCTCTAAAGGCTGGTTATACAAGTATAGCGACTTCATGAATGCGAATCTATACAAATTTTATATGCTATCATTCATGGTATAGAGTGTAATTTAGTAAATTTAGTGCATAACAGTTGTCTCTATTCAAATTCCAATTGCTACTTACCAACAATTTTATCAACTGTGTCATGATCATCAAAAGTCACAAAAGCAAATCCCCTCTTTTTTCCACTCTGCCTGTCTTCCATAACTTCTATGGTTTCAATCTTGCCATACTTCTCAAAGTAGTCTCTCAAATTATATTCCTCTGTATCTTCTTTAATACCACCAACAAAAATTTTCTTCACTGTTAAGTGGGCACCAGGCTTTACAGAATCCTATCAAAAAAAGAAAAAAAAAAGTCAAAAAAACAACTTTTGTAAAAACTCCACACCTTGTACAACACGGTGGTATTAAAATACCTCTCTAGAAACAGCTCTCTTTGGTTCCACTACACGCCCATCAACTTTGTGTGGCCGAGCACACATCGCTGCATCCACCTCTTCAACACAAGAGTAAGTCACAAAACCAAAGCCCCTGGAACGTTTTGTTTGGGGGTCTCTCATCACCTACAAAATAAAGTTTATAAAGAGTTGAAATACTTCCTTAGGGCCTTTACCGTTTCTAAAGATCCTCTCTGTTCCTTTAGTTACTTACCACACAATCTGTAAGTGTGCCCCATTTCTCAAAATGTTCTCTTAAACTATCATCTGTAGTTTCAAAGCTCAGACCACCAATGAACAGTTTTCTCAACTGCTCTGGTTCCTTTGGATCATGACCCTGAAACAAACCAATAAACTTTAGTTATCTTTCCAAGATTAACTGCTAAAGGGGGTGGGGGAAGCACCCACACATCTGCTATAAATAATTAACAATATCAAATTCCTGTACAATTAAACATTGCCCACCTAAATATTTTAATACAACACACACATCACTGGATTAAAGTTGATACAAAGCAAATCTATAAACAATCTTTCAAATGACAATTGTCACTTCAACTAAACTGAGGATCTGGAGGATTCCAGGAGAACAACCAAAAACAAGTATCTGAAGTCTGTTTTAGAAGTCACTACTGAAAAACCATTTTCTAAGAAACAAACAAAAAATGCTATTTAAGTAGTCCACACTATTTTCCACGTCTTTCCTCCTGAGTCCATACCCCAACATTTTTAAAGCACAATCTATCCAGTACAAGAGTTATGACTCCCAAATTAAAAAACAACAAAAAAAAAAACCCTCACTGGCTTCAAGCAATCAAGATACTAAGTCTTTACATAGTAAAGGCATTCCCCTCCCCACCTAAAACCTATGGAAAAAACTCACCAATTTCCCTCTCTGTAACCGTTTTTATTTTACCTGTTATAAGCTGCAAACATTTATATCACAGCAAAAATTTCAACACATTTTAGAAGTCCACAAGCCCAAGCTGCACTTAAGTATAATATATATAGCTTTAAATATACAGAACACAGTAAACCAGAAATTGCATTAGTAAAGAAATTAAGATGAGGCCTAAGTGGTTTACAACTTAATTCGCTCTTTGATGATATAAACTGGCATTTGATACTACGATTGAGATTTTGCTTGTCCTAAATCATTAAATTAAGAGGTTACATTTGTCTTCCTGAAAGTAGAAATTAAAGTATTTAATGTGAGAATTGTTAGGAGCTGGGGGGAAAAAGTCAAATTAATGGCCTAAACCTTTATTTCACTTAGTTTTGTTTTTCCACCCTGTTAAATATAACTAATTGACAATACAAACGACAAGAAAATCTATAACCAACATAAAATCATCTCAAACACACGAAAAACTCAACTATGGTTCCAATTCTCTAAAACACAAGTCTAAAAAACTACAACCAGGCCGACCCATCAGACTAAGAAAAATGGTGGTTAAAAAAAAAATCTGTCCCCATTGTACAGCGAACTCTGATAGTGAGCACGCTTCACCCACATGGCTCGAGAATATGTAAAATTACTTGTACTTTCAGGAGGCACATCAGAAAGTATTCTAAAGCAGCAAACTAACACTTTTTCCTATTTTCAACTGAGTGCTGCCAAAACCCGTACAGAAAAAAATCCTCGTTGTCTTAAAAGGTCTGAGGCCTAGAAACGCGCCGGCAGAACTTGAGCGAAAACACTACGCCCCAAGCTTCGAGGCAATTTGCGGCATTTTCTGCCGAACCGCCTCCTCTCTCTCGCTTCCAATCCCGCGCTCTCTTTCCCCGCGGCGAAGCGGCGGCCATTGCGGGCCAATGCGCCATTTCGTAACGCGGCAGCGGATCAATGTCAATGTGGCCGCCGCCCGCCTGCTCGCTCGCCCGGATGTGCCTGCTCGTCCCCTCCCCTCCCCCACCACCTCCTCCCAACCGCTCCCGCCGAGGCCCGCCATGCCGCCCTCGGCCTCGCATCTGAGGCCGCGCGGCCGGCGGGCCGGCATCCCTTCCGAGGTTCTCGCCAGCCAAGCCGCCTCTGCTAGGGGCTACCTGTGCAGCCAAAGAGGAGGATGAGGCGGGCGAGGGGCTCCAAGGAGGCCTCTGAGGCCCGTTCCCCTCCCCCTCCCACCGCCCGCCTCAACGCAGAGCGCGGGACAGCCGACCCAGTCCACCCGGCCTCCCCACTCCCACCGAGCCAAGCCCCCCACGCCGGCCACTACCCATCAACCCCCCGCTCTCCCCCTAATACCTCCTCCCCCCGGCGGCGGCGGCGACGGCCGGAGTCGGGCTGGGGGCGACCGGGCGGCGGTTTTACCTCCATTTTGAGACCGGACTCGCCTCTTCCAACTCGAGTTCAATATGGGACCGAGAGGAAGAGGCGGGGCCAATCGTCACGTGACGCGCTTTCCGCGCGCCTCCGTTCTGGTGGAGGAGGGGCGGGCGTGGAGGGGGCGTGGTCAACTGGGCGCGAAGAGCTACTGGACGAGCGGGTTGGCGGGCGGAGGGCGGGGGCGTGGCAGGCCGCGGGAGCGCGCGCGCCCCGCCAACTTCCAGTGCGGCGCCGCCCTTGCTGCCGTTCGCGCCCGGGCGACTGCAGGGACGTCAGCTAGCGCTCCGCCAATGGCGCGCGCCCACGTCGGGAGAACGGCTCGTGACCGCGCGTCACCGGAGAAAGGGCCTTTCCCTTTCTTCTCGCGCTTCTTTCCCCTCCTCCACGGAGGTCTCTCGGTCTCCATTTCCGAATTTGTTCCTACGGTGTCTGAGTAAAATCACACTTTTCTGCCTTTTACGTAAAGATTGCACGGGAATCTCTGCCCATCGGCATCTCGCCGGTTTCTAATTGCCAGGGCCCAGTTTCTGTGGCTGTGACACCCACCTGTGAGGGCCGAACTGAAAATCTACGACACTATCAGGTTATGGGCACCTTGAAAAGGGCCCGAAACCCGGCTGACACACTTTGAAATTTTCCCTTTAATGAAATGAGGCAGGATTAGTCCAGGTCAGTTCATTAGGTAGTCAGCGATCTCAAAAAACTCTTGGTACTTCCGATTACTGTGAAAAGAGTTAAAACTGCTCTCCCATGGGCGGAATGTAAGGAATTAAGTAATTTACAAGGTTTTTAAAAGTAGGGGCCAGATAAACTACCCATTTGCTAGTGATTTTTACTTTAATGTTTCCTATTGTGAAAATATGATGAATGAGATGATTAAAGTCTTGCGAGCTTATCTTTTGTGGGCCTAGGCAAGTGATTTTAAATCATTTGAACTCACTGAACTTTGCTTTTTCTCTTGAAAATAGCTGAGATTAGCTGAACTCTACCATGCATGACAGCCATAAATTAATAACCCGTGCGTCCACGTTTAAACAAAGGTACTGAAAAAAGTGACCACAATTGATTGACAAATTTCCTTCCCTTATTGTTAATAAGACATTCCTTATTAAGACATTTAATGTAGCAGTCATTTAGAATTGATCAGACCCTCACTTGGAAAGTTTACAAGTTTAACAATTCTACTGTAAATTGTGTGAAAAGCTGTTAATAGAACTTGGAGTTTGGGGGAAAAATTTATTAATGTTTATCTGGACTTGTCCAAGTGGAACAGGCATTTTGTTTCGCAGACATAAACAAAAGGTGCTCAGTTGCAGGGCAGTCACCAGGCTTTAATGGAATTTGGATGAAATACCTCCAAATGAGCCTCCTCCTGTTGCTGGGATTCCACCTAAGCCAGCTATTATGTTTGCTACTTATCAGTATTCCCAATAGCCAATAATAGTACTTGAAATAATTAGGGAAATTTATATCCTAGTGTCCAGTCAATGCCTCAAGACTTTGTAACTTTGATTACTATGATATAGTGGTAGGTAACTTGATAAATTCTGCATATGTAGAAAAACACAGTTAAAGACCTTAGGAAGATGATATTCATATCAAAGTACCCTGTGAAACACCATAAATGTGACCACTTCACTTTCAGGCATGTTTCTCAACCAAGTTATTTCTAATTAATAACTTCTGTTAGTTTTGAATTATATTTAATTCTTATATTTAAGAAACAATGCAAGTATACTGATCACTTCATAGAGAATAAGGTATGTCAGTCCATTTATTCAAGTCTTTGTCTTTCAGTGAAATTTGGATGCAGATGTGCTGTTCATCCAGAAGGTATGTGTGATTTTATTTTCTCCCCACCGGCATCCCTTATGGCCTCTTGTCCCTTTCCCAATCTCAGTATCTCTGAGCCCTTATTAAGTCTATTAATGACAGCTTGTTTTTGTAATTGTTTTACTTTGTCGAATTGCTCATTATATATATGTCCAGTGTTTTTTTTTTAAAATTCTAACTTGCTTTACTATAAATAATTCCCTTACATGCCCTCCCTTTTTCTGTAAATGGCTGCATTTTATCTTTCCTTACGACTGATTAGTATTTTCTAGTGTGGCTATACCATATCATCTTTATCCAGTTACCTATTGTTGGATAGCTAGGCTCCTTCTGTGTCATAGCTATTGTAAATAGTGTTGAAATAAACATTATAGAGTATATAGGTTTGTGTTGATGTTTTATGTTATTTGGATCTATGTGCAGGAGTGGAATTGCTGGGTCATATGTTCTTTTCTCTTTTATCTTTTGAAGATGAATGCAAATCACTTTCCTTAATGGCTGCAAGAGTTTACATTCCCACTAATAGTATAATAGAATTCCTCTTTCTCTGAATCCTCTCTTGTGCTTCTTTTTAATATGCGCTGTTCTCAAAGATGTAAGATGGTATCTCACTGTGAATTTAATCTGCATCTCTCTTGTTAGAAGTGATGATGTACATTTTTCATCTATCTACTCACCGTCTGCATATCTTTGGAGAATTACCTATCATATCTGCTGCCCACTTATTAATTAGGTTATTTATTTATCTGTTGAGGTGTATAATTTTTTATTTATCTGATATTAAGTACTTGTCAATTACACATTGTATGACTATTTTCTCTTACTCACTAAGATGTCTTTTGAATCTTCTTATATCCCCCCCCACCTATACAAAAGCTATTTTTCTTTAATTAGCACCAATCATTTATTTTTGCTTTTATTTCTCTAGTCATAGTGGTCAAGTCTCCAAAAATCTTTATTCTTGATGTTATGGAACATATAGTACCGATGTTTTTTTCTATACATTTTGTTATTCCAGATCTTATATCTAAATCTTTTATCCACTTGGAAATTTTATGTATAGAATTAGGATATGATCAACTTCATTATTCTATGTGTAGCCTCACAGTTTTCCCAGCACACTTTATTATATAGACTCCCCCAATTGTATGGTCCAGCCTGCTTTATCATAGAATAGTTACTGATACTTATGAGATAAATACTTATGTTTATCTCTTGGCATTATCTTGGAAGATTTTTTTGTTATATCATGTTCATTACCTTTTTATTTGTTAAATAATAAGTGAAAAGCAATTAATAAAACATTTTGGGTCCCCTTTAGTGCTTTGTACGACTTACTGCATAATTGTGAGCCTAGTGCCAAATGAAAATGCAGAGCTCCTTGTTCAAAAATAAAGTGACATCTGAACATTAAGCTAAGTCAGCATTCTCCTGAGTACAGCATCCTGTGTGACTGTGAAGATCACATAAACCTGGGCCTGGTACCTGTCTAGAGCAGGCTCTCAGGCTCTCCTTAGCAGTAAATTCATTTGTTTGTGATTTACCTCCAGCCACTCAGGAGTAAGTGTTCATAATTAAGTTTATGCCCCAGGTTATGGAACTTCCTGCTCTGAGTCACATATGATTGTCTGTCAAATTAATTACCCTATTTTCAGTGGTAATCCTTCTTAGTTAAGACAACTTTAGCAAAATACCATAGATTGGGTGAATTTAAAAATAAACATTATTTCTAACAGTTGTAAATGCTAGAAAGTCTATCAGGGTGCCAGCATGTTTGGGTTCTATAGAGAGCCTCTTCCTCCTTGCAGATAGCTGTCTTTTTGCTCTGTCCTCACATTGAAGAGAGGCAGGGTGATGTGAAGGAGGTTCCTCTTTGTCCTTTATAAAGACACTAATACCATAAGGGATGTGCCCCTTCCAATGGCTTGATTACCTCCTAAAGATCCTATCTCATACATCATGGATTATGTTTCAGTAAGTGAATGCGGAACATGGAAGGGGAAGAGGGTACACACATGCAATCCTTAAGCATTCCCTAAATCACAGGTTGATATTACTACTAATACTACTTTTTTACTTCTCCTTTGTCAACATCTAGAAGTAAACTAATGGGAAACCAGATCCTCTGGCAGCAGCTTTCAAATTATGCAAATAAAATTCTTTCTAGGGAAGACAGGGAGATAGGTGCTTCTGTCTACCCCTTCTACATGAAATATGGGGGGATAGCCAGTTAAGAACTTTTTCTTTGTTTTGTTACATTTTATAGGACTTCTAGTTGCTTGCTGATAATAGGTTTTAGGGAGTAAGAATAGAAATAAGAATACTTTTGGAAGATTATTGTAATAATCCAGTTTGAAAATTGTTGGGAGCACAAAGGAAATCACCTTGTACCCCTCTGGGCTCTTCCAGGCTGACAAATAAACAGGCATCAGATAGATTGAGAAGAGAAAAGGTCAGGGCCTCCCTGGTGGCACAGGGGTTAAAGTCAGTTTTATCAAGCTATTAGCAGCCACTGCAGCATGAGTTCAATCCCCAGCCAGGGAGCTGACCTACAAATGTAGCAGACCTCTCCAGTCTCACCTGCTGCTTCCCTCAGCAGTATATTTCAGTGAATTCTCTCACACACACCCCAGGCCCACCCCCTGTACTTCTGGCCTACATCCCAGTTTTTGTATGCATAAATAAATTATAAAAACTTAAAAAAAAAAAAAGAAAAGAGAAGAAAAAAGAAGCTTTTTTGACCTTATGTAACGTGTATACATATTCCTGTATACATAAAACTAACTCATCTACTTGGCTTCAGACTATGATTTTAAACAACTTAGCTAAGGAATATTGGAAGGAAGAAAGGGGAAGGTTGTGAAGTTTACCAAGGAAGCCACACTAGATAAAGATATACAGATTAAGTTTTGCCTTTTCCATTGAAAAGAGATAAGGAGGTAAGGACTTTCCTATGTAGTGAACGAGAAAACTTCTTTACACAGGTATACTCACCTTCAAAGGGGCAAAGTCACAGCCCTGCCCATGAAATTAACCTTTAGCTAAAAAGACTTGTTTTGGGACCAGACTTTTGTTTTCTACAATATGAAGGTAGTATAGACCTGAGGGATAACTGAGGAGATGGTGAGAAATGGGATTTAAACTGGTTTGATTCAGGAGGTGTTTTGATAGGATAGTCAACACATAGGGCATGAGAGAGAGATTCAAGTATGAGTAATGGAAAGATAGAGTTAATTAGTCTAATTTCTGATCTCTTCTTTAA